ACTGTGATTGTGTGTATGCTAGTTTATATTGTTTGTGTCATCAATGTGTGCCCCTGTGTGTGTGTGTGTAAAGGTGAGGTGTGTGTGCTGGTAAGTATTTTGTGCATGCATATTTGAAGGTACGTATTTTTCAACTATACGTTCGTTTTTGATATTTACACTGAGTTTTGATGTATGAACATAATTTGCTCGATTTATAAAATGCAAGACGAATGCTTAGAAGGGCTGAAGGTAAGACGGGCTTGCGTGCCCAGTTTGTAACCCTTTGGAAACAAAGTTCGTTCGTTCGCTCCTTCTCTCTCTTTCTCTTTCTCTTGTGCTCTCTCTCTCTCTCTCTCTCTCTCTCTCTCTCTCTCTCTCTCTCTCTCTCTCTCTCTCTCTCTCTCTCTCTCTCCTTCGTTCTTTACATCTTTACTTTCCTTTGCGAGCAGCTAGTTTTTCGCTCAGTCGTTACTTATGCTGTCGTTCTTAGTTTTACTTCTCCCTTATGTTTTATCTTTACATCGCTTCTTCTGTGCGTGTCTTTTGTGACGTCACATCTCGGTTTTTTGTTTTTTTGTTTTTTTTTTAGTTTTTGTGTTTATTCCCCTTCCTTGTTGTTTTTGTACGTTTAAGGCGTGAAAAGGGATTTTTACTTTAATTTATTTTGTCTGTTATTCCTTCATTTGTTCATTCATCCATTGTATAATTATGTCTTTGTTGCCTTTATTATAAATCGCTGGTCCAGATGCAGTGGGAGACTGATCACTTTTCCTGTTTCCTAGAGCAGTAAAGGTGTTGCAGCCGCGGATTTCCACATCATAGGTCACAGCCTGGGTGCTCACGTAGCCGGGTACGCTGGGGAGAAGATACCCGACCTGGGCAGGATCACCGGTAAGTGATTTCCCCATGGGATTGTGACGTCATCATTTTGTAACAACTGGAAAGCAAAGTTATACTAACTGTATGTCGTTATCTTTAAAAAAAAAAAATTAGATTACTAATGTGGTAATAATTTAAATCAAAATTACACTATTCATTACAATATTTTTACAAGCATTGTGTTACCAGTGTGAAACGTGGACATTATCAAAAGCAGAAAAACTGAAACAATAGAAACTAAATGTCTATATTGAACCTGAAATATAACTAGGATAGACGGGATCAGAAATAAGGATATTATAAAGGGATGTCGGTAGGGAACTAGTACAAAACTACATCAAGAGACAACAAATCAAATGGTTTAGACATGAGTCAAGACTACCACCAGAGTGTGCACCACAGAAAGCTTTGTCACTTTAGAAACAATGGAAGCTGGGCCAGAGGTCGACCACGCAAGCGATGGATAGATGGAATCGCCAAGGCTGTAGATAACAACACCTACGTAGCACATATCAAGGCTTACACCCGATGCCTCTTCACAGCCGGACGCTGAATCCTGACGCTGAATGGCGGAAGAAAAGTAGCAACAACAACAACAACAAAGACCAACAATGTTAATATGACTCATACATATAATAATAATTACTCTTGGTAATAGTACTGATTTCAATGCTTCAGCTGAGTTGAGCTGAGTCACAAATCGACATCATAAAACTATAAATAAACAGGCGTTGTTCTTCTATCTTTCTACTTCTTTCTATGAGTGCCGTTCACAATACTTTCTGTTACTTGATTAATTCATCATAACACTAGGGCATTCCTTTAAACGCCCCATCCCCATCTTCAGCAACCACCGCAGAGTTCCAATACCCATATTACCAGTAGCAATCTGATTATAAGTCCGTCTCGCCTTTCCTCTGAGCGTCGAGTATCTGCCAGACCCCCTCGTCACTCCTCACTGAATAACTCTCACCAATCAGTGATGATCCATTTTCTCCTCCCTCAGTAAATTCGACAATTTAAATACTCAAAAATTCAAAATCCTAAGTTGTTTTAGGGAGCAGTGAATTGCCACAGCTAGTTCTTTTACCAGATACGTCCCAATAGTGGGGCGGAACCCACTCGGGAGCACATAACAGAACACAACAGCAGAATGGACTCAACGCCATCGATCTAACACACAAACCTTCATCTGGAGATTCGAGTGGTCTCGAGTGCTGGAGGTTCCGAGTTCAATCCCCAGTAAGGGCTGGGATTTTTTCACGTGGACTTGGACTTCTAGTAATTCCCCCTGGTCTCTGGGTAGTGAGATCGGACGCCCGTGTGCATTGTTGCGCACGTAAAAAAAACCTTTGGCAGTTGGAAATCGAAAAGAGTAGCCTAATGACGCTGTTCGGGCTAAAATTTGGAGTTAAAAATCTACCCAAAGTATTTCAAGATCCTCGCCGGTGCTTCAGAGCCTGTGCACTGTGCTGAGCTTCTTCGGACTCAGACTTGAATTGAAAGAAAAACGGAGCACTTATGGGTTACTACCTGTGTGCTATGATGTTGATCCCTTGTTCAAACCTCAAACCTCACAAACTGTTATCTCATCCAAGAAACTTGTCACAAATAAACCAGACCATAAATATAACCGAATGCCACTTGCAGCTTTGCTTTGCAAAAGATTCGTTTAGTCTGTCATGAACATGGACAAGGCGAACACAAAACAAGTTTCAAGGATTTTCGAAAGATGTCTTTAAAGACTATTGGCCTTGATCCCGATATGTGGGAGGGCGTTGTACCCCCAGGTTGAAATATAGGAGTAACGTATGGCTACTTCACACAGTAGCTAAAGGTCTAATTTAGAAAACATTGGCTATATCAGTGATTCCCAAACAGTGCCCCGGGGAGCCGCCACCTCTTCACATGGGCGCCGCGAAATACTGCAAAAAGCTTCCTAATTAATCTAACCAAGACAGAATAGTCATACTTTTACTTAGGTTAGGGCGCCTTTGAAAAATGTTAATTTAAAAAAAAAGGCGCCGCGACAAAGACAAGTTTGGGAAACAGTGGGTTATACGGTGCATTAGCTAATATATGTTAACTGTGTTGAAGGTCTGGACCCCGCCGGGCCATATTTTGAGAACACCGACAAGTCAGTGAGACTGGATCCATCTGATGCTCTCTTCGTGGATGTAGTTCACACTGATGGCAAAAACTTACTGGACCTGGGTGGGTAGTATGTCTATCATTTTTCTTCGCTATTTTATCACCTGATTTATCTCTTACTTGTCATCATTAACTGCATCATCAATAACACCATCACTGTCGTCAACATGATCATCATCATCAACATCGATATCATCATCACCACCTCCATCATCATCATCATTGTCATCTTCTCCTTCATTGTCTTCTCCCCATCTCTCTTCCTCCTTCCGCCTCATTCTTCTTATTATTATTCGTCTTCTTTATCATCTTCTTGTAAATCTTTTTTTGTTTCGTTATCTCGGTCATCGTCTGCCCGCAACACCTAGTCCTCCGTCTATGCTCATTACTCTTATCTCGCTAACATTTACAAGCTAAGTTTATTGTATGTTGGATCCTACGACTAATGTGTACTAATGCAACCACTCTACCCAGGTTTCGGCATGAAAGAACAAGTGGGCCACTTAGACTTTTACCCAAACCTTGGTCACGACCAGCCAGGCTGCACTCGATCTCCGATCGCTCAGATTTATGAAAATGGCTTTACCCAGGGTAAGAATATATAATGTATTTATTACATTACCCATGGTAACTCGTTTATCTTAAGTTTCTTACAAGTTTCATTAGCACTAATAATTGTTTGCCTTGAACAAGCAAGTAGACATTGTAATCACAGTGACTTCAATACGCCTAAGTTTAGCTGATCAGTAAGTACTTCCTAAGAAACCTGGCACAATACACAGAACTATTTTATCGCGGATTCTTCCTGATCAAACGGTAGGCACCATCAATACTGTTAGCCTTGTAAACAAAACTGCACCACAAAATAAAATTTATAAATGCACTGAATTCAACAAGAGACTAAACAAACGTTAAAAGTAGCCTGGGGGAAAGCCAGACTTCTATAGAATGACCAAAACGGAAAAACTAAAGAACACATGTGATAGTTGGAGATCAAAGAGAAGAACAGGAGCATATCGTTCGTTACTTGTGATGATAAAACTTAGAGACAGTCGTGGACAGAAAAGAAAGATTGGACAGAAAGGGGAGGGTGACAGGGAGTGGGAGAGAGGGGGAGTGGGAGAAACAAGGAAGAGAGAGAGAGAGAGGCGGGATTTGAGAGAAAAGGGAAGGGGTGGAGTTGAGCAAAAAATGACCCAAAAAATTCTCATTAAATATTTGTAAATCCAACTTCAAACTGATTTCCAACAAAATACAAGTGAGATTGTCTCACCGCCAACAGGTCTGAAGGAAGTGGTTGCCTGCAATCACCTGAGATCCATCAAGTTCTACACCGAGAGCATCAACACCCAGTGCCCCTTCATGGCTTTCCCGTGTGACAGCGAGGAGGACTTTGCCGTGAGTCTCTTGTGTTTTTCTGTCCGGGCAAATAGAGAGAGAGAGAGAGAGAGAGAGAGAGAGAGAGAGGATCGTGATGAGAGAGAGAGAGAGAGAGAGAGAGAGAGAATGGGGGGGGGGGGAGGAGCTGAAGACTATATGTAGGTTTGTTTTCTGTCCACATATATAAGTTTATTGTCTGTCCATTGATGTAGGACTTTGCTGTAAGTTCGTTTTCTGTCCACTAATGTAGGACTTTGGTGTAAGTTCATTCTCTGTCCACTAATGTAGGACTTTGCTGTAAGTTTGTTTTCTGTCTAAAGAAAGACTTTGTTTTAAGTTCATTTTCTGTCAATGGGAGGAGACTTTCACTTAAGTGTGTTGCCAGTTTAGTAGAAGTACTAGTTAACATCCCGTGCTGGATTGCAGGGTACACACACGTACATCACGTTAGGGGTATCAGAATTATGACTTGTTTATAGGTTAAACCGGGAAACTGGGAATTGCCTGGTTGATGTGCCATTCAGACTGCGACTCAATCTTGAAGTCGTAAAGTGGTAAAATCATGAGGTAAGAATTATACTGAAGGGACTGAAGTCAATGGATCTATGAGTAGGCAGAAACCAGAAAGGTAATAACACGAAGAGACATCAACACCAATAGTCTGTTACAGTGTGTTATCAGAAAAAGGCAGAAAAGGAGAAGAAGAAGAAGAATCGGGTGAGGTCAGTTTTCCTTTTCACGGTCCCCCAAGGAAAGATATTTTTCCCGATAATAGTTCTTCCCCTGGGTGCCATGTCTAGGGGCTAATATCTTCTGTACTCAATTTTCAGCAATACAGCAACTTTTCGGCAGCTATAATGAAGTGAGTCGGGGTGGGGGTGGGTGGGGTGGGTGGGGGGATACGGCCAGTGGGAAGGGAGGAATAACAGAGATTAAGTTCTAATATATTCTACATTGCCTGGTATAGTCGTGGGTGACTGAGTAAAGCAGAAGCTATGGGACTGTATAAAAACATAGAAGAGCTGTGGAACCTAACTTAGTCACAAGGCCAAGTAGAAATAGTAGTAATGGTAGTGTTGATGGCAGTTGTGGTAGTAGCAGCAGCAGCGGCAACAACAACCACAATAGTAGAAGTAGTATCAATAATAATAACAGTAGCAACAGCAGAAGAAGAAAGAGAAGAGGAAGAACGACGACAACAACAACATCAATAACAACAACAACAACAATAATGTCACCTGATAATGACAACAAAAATACAAGCAATTTCAGCTCATCAAGAGGTAAGAAAGTGTCAGTTACCAAACACACAAACTATGGGACGAGAGTGGACGCTTATATACTGTCTCTGGCATTCACAGGCCGGTAAATGCCGAGCCTGTACTGCTGATGGATGCGCGGCTATGGGATTCAACGCTGACAATCACAAGCCCAGAAACGGAGGACAGACCAAGTATTTTCTGACTACCGCTGCGCATGCGCCATTCTGTGGTAAGTTGCCTTTTGTTGATTCTTTAGTCGCACTGTTTTTGTCACATAGATATGACTGGTATGACTGTGTTTGGGAAATAACGATAGATATGGTCAATGTGAGGAGATTCTTGGCAGCCTGTTGTCATGTCATGCAAGAGTCTATGCATACAATCTGATAAATGCTGTTGAATATCGCAGACTGCTTCCACGACTGTCAGCAGGGCATTTGATGATGATGATGATAGTAGTGATGATGATTATAATGATAATGGCGGTGGTCGTGATAGTAGTGATGATGATTATAATGATGATGGTGGTGGTGGTGATAGTAGTGATGATGAATATAATGATGATGATGATGATGATGATAGTAGTGTTGATGATAATAATGATGATGATGGTGATAGTAGTGATGATGATTATAATGATGATGGTGATGGTGGTGATAGTAGTGATGATGATTATAATGATGATGGTGGTGGTGGTGATAGTAGTGATGATGATTATAATGATGATGGTGGTGGTGGTGATAGTAGTGATGATGATTATAATGATGATGGTGATGATGGTGATAGTAGTGATGATGATTATAATGATGATGGTGATGATGGTGATAGTAGTGATGATGATTATAATGATGATGATGGTGATGGTGGTGATAGTAGTGATGATGATTATAATGATGATGGTGGTGGTGGTGATAGTAGTGATGATGATTATAATGATGATGGTGATGATGGTGATAGTAGTGATGATGATTATAATGATGATGGTGATGGTGGTGATAGTAGTGATGATGATTATAATGATGATGGTGATGATGGTGATAGTAGTGATGATGATTATAATGATGATGATGATGATGGTGATAGTAGTGATAATGATTATAATGATGATGATGATGATGTTGATGATGATGATATTGGTGTTGATGATTATAATGATGACAGTGATGGTGGTGACAGTAGTGATGATGATTATAATGATGATGGTGATGGTGGTGATAGTAGTGATGATGATTATAATGATGATGGTGATGGTGGTGATAGTAGTGATGATGATTATAATGATGATGGTGATGGTGGTGATAGTAGTGATGATGATTATAATGATGATGATGATGATATTGGTGTTGATGATTATAATGATGACAGTGATGGTGGTGACAGTAGTGATGATGATTATAATGATGATGGTGATGGTGGTGATAGTAGTGATGATGATTATAATGATGATGGTGATGGTGGTGATAGTAGTGATGATGATTATAATGATGATGGTGATGATGGTGATAGTAGTGATGATGATTATAATGATGATGATGATGATGGTGATAGTAGTGATGATGATTATAATGATGATGATGATGATGTTGATGATGATGATGTTGATGATGATGATATTGGTGTTGATGATTATAATGATGACAGTGATGGTGGTGACAGTAGTGATGATGATTATAATGATGATGGTGATGGTGGTGATAGTAGTGATGATGATTATAATGATGATGGTGATGGTGGTGATAGTAGTGATGATGATTATAATGATGATGGTGATGGTGGTGATAGTAGTGATGATGATTATAATGATGATGATGATGATGTTGATGATGATGATATTGGTGTTGATGATTATAATGATGACAGTGATGGTGGTGACAGTAGTGATGATGATTATAATGATGATGGTGATGGTGGTGATAGTAGTGATGATGATTATAATGATGATGGTGATGGTGGTGATAGTAGTGATGATGATTATAATGATGATGGTGATGGTGGTGATAGTAGTGATGATGATTATAATGATGATGGTGATGATGGTGATAGTAGTGATGATGATAATAATGATGATGGTGATGATGGTGATAGTGGTGATAGTAGTGATGATGATAATAATGATGGTGGTGGTGACGGTGAAGATGATGATGTCGATGATACTGACAGTTAAGATGAAGGTGACGATAATGACACGGGTGACAATGATGATAATAATGATGAAGATGATGACGTCGATGATCATGATGATGGCTCTCAGAGATAAAGAGACTAATTCCATCTGTACAGTTGCAAAAGCGAGATACGAGAATCGTACCATGGAAGAGATTGGGACCTGCCTCGCGTCATACTTTTAGAGACATTTGTGCAGTGGTTCTAAAACTGAGCTGAGTGGCCACCCCATTCTGTAGGAGTGAAGTGACCGGCTACCCCACGTATTAAAAATAAGCTTTTTAACACGGTGATTGACCGAAGATGGGAAATTGGATAAAGAAATTGACATTAGATGCAGTAAAGCAAACCAAGTATTGGGACAGCTAGCCCCCTTCTTACAGCATAAGACAATCCCAATCAGCACAAAGAGACATCTTATTCAAAGCATATTTATTCCAACTCTGTGCTACCAGTGCCAGACATGGTCACTCACAACAAACCATAAAAGAAAATTAGTAACCACGGAAAAGAGATGTCTGAGAAGGGCTGTAGGAGTGACCATAAGAGATAAGATCAGGAGTGAGATCATAAGAGAAGAAGTCGGCACAGAATCAATTCTGGATTACATACAAAGACAGCAAGTGAAATGGTTTGCCCACTTAGAGAGAATGCCTTGTGACACCATACCATACAAAGCATACATGGAAAGAGAAGAAGAACGTAGAGCACAAGGTAGACCAAGAACAATATGGAAGGATAACATCAGAGAAACTCTACAACAGCACGATGTGCCTATGGTCGAGGCAGCCAGAAGAGCTAGAGACAGAACCTTATATCTCTCTCGACACCCACAGCGGTAAAAGAGGAAGTGAAGAAGAAGAAGAAGATTGACACAAACACCAAGAATAAATTTTCTTTGCAGGACATGAGGACATGAATTTGGTTTTCCCCTTTTAGAACTGTGCATAGCTGACCAGCTGACCAGCTGACCAGTGTCCGGCGACCTCCCAGAAAATCCAAGTGACCCCACATGTGGTCGAGACAAAAGGGTGCCGAAACAAAGACAGTTTGGGGGAAGCTTGGCCACTTGATACCTTTTCTCAATAGCCTGTCTTGTTTAAGTGCGCATAAATAAAGTTAGTTGCTTGTCCTTTACTAAAGATTGCAGAACCAACTCCAGCTTTTTTGGCTGCTTCGGATTTACTGGGTGAATTACATTTAGCAGTTTGCCATTGTTTTCTGACCTAGAAAGAATGATGCGACGGAAGGTGTCTGCAAGCTCTGGTCGCCATTCAGGACACAGGAGTAAGGCAGACGAGTAGTTAACCAGATGACAACAAGTACCGTCAGTATGGAGAATCGTCGCTGGCTGTTGAGGAGGGGGCCGGGGCGCATATGGGCTTGTCCTGAAAGTTGTGATGTCGAATCTTTACCCAGATGAATCTAGATGCCCCTAACCATCAGCTCTCGACACGTCTCTAAATCAAATCAAGGCGGTCTGCTTCTAATTCGCCAGCAGCTGGAATCGAACCAGATAACTCGGAATTACGAAGCGTGTTTGCAACACCTAAGCCGCATACGAAGTAATTATAATAATAATAATAATTATTATTATTATTGTCATTATTATTATTACAGGGAGCCGTCGTGGTCTAGTGGCTAGACGCTCGCCTGCGGATGCGAAGGTGGTGGGTTCGGTTCCAGTCGAGGGCCGGATTTTTTTCTAAAATGATCTTGGTTCCCAGGTTGACCCAGCCTTGAGTGGGTACCAGGCAGAGTCAAGGTGAAGTAAAGGCGGCCGGCGTGATGCTGACCACATCGCCCACCAAGTGCCGTTTGGCCTATAAAATATATATACCCAATACGTATTAGAGCGGGAAAAAGGATCTTTACTTTTTTTTTAATTATTAATTATTATTAATATTATATTGGTTTGGGAACCACAAGCCCAACTAAGAACTTTTTAAATGAAGGTGAAAGATTAACACCCCTCCCCCTTTTTTTTTCTAACACCACCCGAAATGTATTGACGAAAAACGGGGGAGGGGGAGGGGTTGGGGGTTGGTGGAGAAGGTGCTACCCGTTAAAATTTTTCAGGGCGGGTGGTAGGCTGAGCCTCAGGCTCCGAGTAGCTTAGTGAAGACGTCTCATAATTTGTATCTATTCGATTCCAATGTTCCACAGAATATCACCTTGACCTGACTGTGACCTTCGCCGCAAACAAAGGGTCAGAGGAGCGCGGTAGCTTCCAAGTGACCTTTCATGGGACTCAAGGAAGCAGCAGCCCGATCGCCGTGGTCGAGTCAGTAACCGTTCTTATCATCCTCCACCTTCATTCGCCATACTCCACCTTCATTTGCTATACTCCACCTTCATTCGCCATACTCCACCTTCATTCACCATACTCCACCTTCATTCGCCATACTCCACCTTCATTCACCATACTCCACCTTCATTCGCCATACTCCACCTTCATTCGCCATACTCCACCTTCATTCACCATACTCCACCTTCATTCACCATACTCCACCTTCATTCGCCATATTCCACCTTCATTCGCCATACTCCACCTTCATTCGCCATACTCCACCTTCATTCGCCATACTCCACCTTCATTCACCATACTCCACCTTCATTCGCCATACTCCACCTTCATTCACCATATTCCATCTTCATTCGCCATACTCCACCATCATTCACCATACTCCACCACCATTCACCATACTCCACCTTCATTCACCATACTCCACCTTCATTCATCATACTCCACCTTCATTCACCATACTCCACCTTCATTCACCATACTCCACCTTCATTCACCATACTCCACCTTTATTTGCCATACTCCACCATCATTCGCCATACTCCACCTTTATTCACCATACTCCACCTTCACTCACCATACTCCACCTTCATTCACCATACTCCACCTTCATTCACCATACTCCACCTTCATTCGTCATCCTCTTCATTCATTCGTCATCCTCTTTATTTAGTCGTCATCCTCATTGTCCTGTTGGGCCATTATATATCACATAGGGCTCACAGACCACTCCACCATTCCGTTCTGTCCTGTACAATCACTTCGATATCCTGGGTGGAACTGAGTCCAGCTTCTCATTCTTCTTTCATCAACGTTCATTCTAGTGTTTCTTGTGGACGTTCTCGCTTCATCAATTCTTTTATTTTCCCATTTCAGTGCGTGCTTGGTAATGCTCTGTTCGTTTCTTCTGACAATGTAGCCAGTATAAAGTTAGCTTCTTTGTCTTTTAACCCTGTCCATTACAACTTTCGTTTGTCTGCTTGTCCATCCACAGACACAAGGAAGCCAAATCGATCTGGTAGAGTTTCGATTAGTTCTACTAACCTTCTCCATGACATCTCTCTTTGATCTACTTTTCCAAACATGAAATTCAGAGAAGCTACAAACTAGATCGCTGTTGTCGAGTCAGTAACAGTTCTTCTCACGCACTCGATTACATCTTTCTTGTATCTGCATGCCATAACTCCGAGCATGAAAACACGTAACCGGCTCATCTATGTTTACAACAAATGTAGTAAGATCTACCGGTCTCGCAAAAAACAAAGCAACATTGCTGAGTAGAGGGGAAGAGGAGAAGAGGCAGACCAAGAAAGACCTGGGTACAAAACTGACTGGATAGGTCTTAAGCATGCAATCACTAAGTCTACTACACCTGATTGTCAAAGGTGGAGGGAGTTGATCAGACAGTCAACAGCAACTGGTGACCCAACGACGCGCAGTGTTGCGGGATAATGGTGAGGACGATGACGATGGTGATAATGATCTTTTTGGAGTATGGTGAATGAAGGTGGAGTATGGTGAATGAAGGTGGAGTATGGTGAATGAAGGTGGCGTATGGTGAATGAAGGTGGAGTATGGTGAATGAAGGTGGAGTATGGTGAATGAAGGTGGAGTATGGTGAATGAAGGTGGAGTATGGTGAATGAAGGTGGAGTATGGTGAATGCATAGATCTTTTTTAATGCTATTAGTGCGTCAGTGTATCGATCGATTGATGGACCGAATTACTTTCTCTGTACTGCGACCTCCTCGTTTAACACACCATCCTAAGATCTATATATCTCAGTCTGGACAGCAAACCAATAAGGCAGATCTGGGATACCTAATTCAGCCTTCAGATACGTTATAATCAGGACACCTGTAGCAGTTTCACCAGCCAGGTGTAGCCCGCAGGTCCACTTAAGTGTATTTGGGCATAACCTTTTTTTGTACAAACCTCACGGTACTTGACAAGGGATGTGCCTTTTTTCTTTTTCTTCTTGACGTTCCCCGGCTGCAGGATCTAGGCTGCTTTGTCAGACGAAAAATTAAAAAAACTACTTCGGATACAAAGAAAAAGATGTAAAAGTAGTAAAGTACAGGTTCTTTTTCCACGCATATAGGCGTATAGTGCATATAGGGCTTACTCCCAGCGACTCCCTAAGAAAAAGAAGATGATAATGAAACGCTGCTGTCGCTGCTGTTATGATGATGATGACAACGATAAAAACACACACTAAAGTTTTCTATCCATTAGGATCAAGTGCGTTATCGACTGGCGTGGGCAATCATGCCTCTCCACAACCTACAATCTGCGTGTATCAGTTCGTGTGTTGACTCTTCATTGCTATGACAAAAAACTGTCAAGAATCTTCTCCCACTGTTTGTCTTTGTCTTTCTCTCCACAAATCTGTCCAGTGCTCACATGTTCCAGTTACTTTTTCTGTTAGTCTATAGAAATCACCGTAAATTCATGACAACACAAGCCGTAGCACAGACCAAATCACTGACCCCCAAATTGCTTCTTCAGCCCCGATGATCCAGTGATCCTAACTCCAGGCACCAGTTACAAGTTCTTCGTGGGAGCACCCACCAACATAGGGACCATCCAGTCGCTTTCCTTCACTTGGGACCACGACTCCTCTTTGTTGAACCCGTCCTCGTGGAACATCCTAGGGCTCAGCCACCCGACACTCTTCCTGGATAAAGTGGAGATCTTCAGCGAAGAGACCAATGTCAGGTACGTACCAACAATGAGCAGGTGGAGATTTCCACTTGTTGAGGCCCTCAGTTATATGAAGCCCTGAAACCTCTACCGTTTTAAATGACACCAGCTAATGTCAGAAAATATTACAATATGTACGCCTTTAAATATCATCATCATCATCATGTTCCCTGCTAGTTGGCGTAGGCGCTCATACATCTTCACAGATCACCATCCCTGGTTGCCTGGAACAGCTCTCTTGATAATGTCCATCCATGCCATCGTTTCAACCCATCCAGCATCGACTCTCTTGGTCTTCCTCACCCCCTTTTTCCCACTGATCTTTCCAGTTGTCACGATGTTCTCCAATGTCTCTCTTCTTATTACGTGGACAAAGAACAGTGTTTGTCTCTTTCTTATTGTTATATTTAGAGATCTACATTTATTAACTTATTTCAAACAATCGTTATTAGTTACTCTGGCCGTCCAAGGTATCTTTAACATTCGTCTCAGAAACCACATCTCTGTTGCTTCCAAATTCTTCTTAATTTGTTCCCTGACATTCCAAGATTTGCTGCCATACAGCAAAACAGGTTTCGTGTAACATTTTAGCACTCTTTCTGACCTTTAAAATATTGGGAAAGGAAAATATAGTTTTGTTTAATTGTTATTTAGGGAAACAATGAAGAATGTGTTTGTAAAATCACATCAATGATGCAATCCTCTAAAATACTGAAAGTGACTACGATGACCCAAGTTAATTTTAAAAAAAAAGTGAAAGTTGGCATACAAGAAGCTGATTATTTTTTCAATTTAAATCGGCTACAAGTTAGCAAACATACAATGCGATAGTTGCAGAACCACCCCTAGCATGCTTTGGTTGTTGTGGTTTTATTAGTCAAATTTAAGTCCAGTAGTTTGCCATTGCTTTCTGGGCGTTTGGCTTCTCGATACCACTGTGGAAACCAACGCAAGGCCCGTAGCTGGGTTAACACACCTTATTCAGAAAGCACTACTATTTCCGGTATTCCAAAGAGGCCTATATGGGAGATTTACATATATGTAAATATGTTACGTTCTGTTTTTGTCACTCATCGCATTCATATCATTATTCGAACAAACAGGAACGCTTTGTGAATAAAACCTAAACACACACACGTACAAAAGCAACATATGTGAATAACACATACAATACAGAAACCACGCAGCCTTGTATACAGACCAATTTTAACATGCAATAAAATTAATTTAAAACTAAAAAAAAAAAAAAAAAAAAAACTACAACGCATAAGCCACAGATGCAGAACGAATGAGATAATATACCCAAAATTATGTAATTAACATTAGAAAATATGTGGGGAAAATTTTTGGGAAATATACATTTCTAAACTGCACTTAAAATATACTAAACGAAAATTGAATTTGTAAAAAATAAAGGCATTTTAGACACCTTCCGATTGTGAGACCCTAAGATGTAATCATTTCGCTTATGCATAAATCGGACACTAACATTGTGTCATATCAAATATATTGAAAAGATACTTCTCAGAAGATCAGTTATAAGAGCAAGAGGACGGCCGCGAAATAGTGGATCGATAACATTAAAGACACTCTACGCCTTCACGGTTTGACAACAGACAATGGCAGCCAGCATGCACTAGATCGCAAATTATTCCTCCCCATGTCGCTTCTTATCACGGCAGAAAAAGTTTATGGTGATGAAAAGATGTCAGTCCAGACGTAGTGTAGAGACAAGTCATCTTGATAGTGTCACAGTCACAAACAACAAGTCAACGTTGCGGCTAAAAAACCTTTATCAGCACATGACATGAAAAGACAAGGTTTCAGTTGCAAACAAGAATACACAAAATCTTAGAATTGAGTTGATCTGATTCAAGAACTGACATCGTAGCACTTGAGGCATTTCCTTAAGCGCTTAAGTCTATCCATTTGTTCCTCCAAATTGTACACGCTCTCCCACAAGGTCCCAAACACGTCTGCCTTATCATGCATCAATATCCCACCAAGTTGTACAGAGCCAACTAGTCAATCCGCCTGTTCATTTCTTAACACACCGGCAGACCCGGAGAAAAGATCCAAACAATGCTCCTTACTCGTGACCTCAACAGCGAAGCATGTCACTCTGCACAAAGCATGCCTGACCTCACTTAGCTGGGATATCTCTGAGAGAAATCCCAATGCATGTCTGGCCAATTGAAGTTCTGACACACGTGTGAATTAAATAGTGTATTATGTTTTCCCGTTGAACCCACGTCATCATCGTCAATCACATCATCACGACCATCATCATCTACAATGCCGAGCAAGTGTGTCCTATGATAGGGAGCCATCCAACACGTTCAAAAGCATCATAGATCAGGTCTGTGTTCTTGTTCCGCCCATGTCCTGTTGCAAGCGATATCTAGCGCTGGGGATGTTCTAGCTTCAATTTGTCACCCCTCCCACCTCAGTGATAACACATGGGGCGGTCCACAACACCCCCCCCCCTTACCACCCTCCCCGGTCTTCTAACGCCACTGATCGTGACAGGCAATCATGGCATGAACGAACATCTGTATTAATAATGATCGATAGCATACGAGACAGAAAACTCTGTGTGTTGTCATGATCGACACAGCATGGATTAGAAGAAGAAGAAACAGGTTCTACGATGGCAGCGGTTACCAAATCATCATCACGTAGCAGGTCCTTTGCAGAACGTCGCTCTCATCACGGTCTGCCTGAAAGAAACTCAGCCTCTCGCTAGTTCTCCCGCCTCATGAACTTTCATACCCAAGAATATATTTATATACTGGGCCCATCTTCGTGTTGGTTGGGCCCTGACCTCCTTTCTGGCACCTTACCTTCTGCCATTTTTTTTTCCAGTTTGCTATAGTTTTTAATATGGCCAAAATATTTCAGCTTCTGAGACAAAATACTGTTTATCAGCCAATCTTCCTGGATGTTCAGATCTTGTAGGATGTCAGTATTTCATTTCCTTTTTGTCAAAGATATTCGGTGAAAAAAAAAATATACCAGTACTGGTTTATAATGTATATTTAAAGTTTTTGACTAAACTGTTTCATTCTGATTCATTTTCCAGCACCCGGTTCTGTGTGAGTGGGCGGGGCGTGGAGACAGACACTACACTGAACATTTCCACAAAGTGCTGAACTGGCAAAACTCTGTACGTGTTAGACTACAACAAGTGATTCTGCCTGTACGTCTTAAACTACAATAAGCGATTCTGTGGGGAATTGTGCGCCAAAATATTTCGGAATAATCAATGACATTCTCGTGATGGTTGAAATGAGCAGACATTTGTTTCCTTTATTTTGTTTGTTATTGTGAGAAACAAATTTAGTAACAGAAAAACATAACGGGAAAATTGAAAGACTCAATAAATTTCCAAATTAAACAACCTTAAAAGTCTATGGTTAAGCACCGGCAAGGAACTCGAAATTAGAATTTTAAGAGCATGCATCTTCCCTGTAGCAGGATACGCATGTGCGTCATGGACTATCTCCCAGTCCTTAAGAAAGAAAATATGTGCTTTTGAGCTGAAATGCTACAGAACAATTTTTAGAATACCATGGGCAAAGAAGAAAAGTATTACATATGAAAAGATCTGAACATTAAGGAGGATTGGCTAATAAACAGCATCTTGTTTGTAATGAAAGCTGAAATACTGGGGTCATGTCAAGTGCAATAGCGGATTGGAAAATATAATTGCAGAAGGAGAGGCAATGCGAAAATTGGCACAAGATATAAGTGACTCCTGGAATATAAAAAATACTTTTAAAAGATTAAAAAAAACCGAACGAAAAGTATATTAGCAAGCTTCACCATATAACAAATACAAACAAAACGTGAACGTTGCGGCTATAGAGCCTTCATCCGCACAAAGAAATCAAACAATATCACACTAATACTCAAAATCACTTAGATGGTATCTCGAAGCAGCGGGGTCGATGGATTCTCAGCAGAATGCCTAAACGCGTGTCCTGGGGGGAACGCCGGCTGGACGCGGTAGTATAAAAGATACAAGTACAAGAGGTGGGAGTGCTGGCGAGAGACCAAGTTTATTTCAGGCAGACGGTAATGAGAGCGACGTTCTGCTGTGCAAAGGACCTGCTGATGAGTGTTCGTATTTACCATATTTGCCACGTAAGAAAGAAAACGGGTGGTGGTGTCTTTGAACCTGAGGATATAGAGCTGTACAGCCTTCGATGTCGCCACGCAGCTTAGAATTTTGTTGCTCCCGACAGAAAAAAAAATATCTATGACCTCACTCTGGGTGTAACCTGGGTCTCATACATTAGAACCAGGCATTCTGATAAAAGATAATAGAAAGACACAAACACCTGGGTGACTTCTTTACACTGCCGAATCGGGAAGTGGCATGATATGAAACTCTTGGGTCGTGTGATATGGCGGATCATGGTCGCCTATATTATGTCCGCATAGTGTAGAATGTAAATGACGGTGGTGGTGGTCCAGAAGGAAGAGGTGTTGAGAAGTTTACTGTGGCTACAGATTTCCCGCCAAGGACGAGTATTCCACTGTAGCCAAAGGAAGATATGACCATTGTATGATAATCTAGTCACTTTCTAGCGAACTATATGCTTCCGGAGAGATGCAGCGTTAAACATTCTTCTCAAACTACACGTTATTTTGGTTTCCCCCTTCCCTCCCTGTTACCCAAGCGAGTCTGAATTTTCTACCATATAAATTCAACGGAGTCCCCTTAACCCTCACCTTCCCCTTATTTCCTAACCCATAATCTCGAACCCCTAACCACTAAAAACAACCCCTGTCAACAAGCCAAATACATTAATATATACGCCAGGTATATAGGAGCCTCCATAGTATTTTCTTATATCCGCTCTAAAACAAGGCCTAAAACAGCGTCAAATACCGCACTGTCCACTACTGAGATCACCGAAAGCAATATCTATATTTTCACCAGGATTGCGGCTTTTTTTTTGTTGGTATTATTGAGGAGCGATGTGGCAATAACGTGGGCGCTTATACAGGGGTAATTTGCCGGTCTCTGGACAAATATCAGGAGAAATCTTCCCTCTGCGATATGGGTCCAACGACGGGAAGGTACAGCTAGTTTTTTTTTTTTTTTATAGCTGCACCCGTCTTAACGACCAATCAAGGAAATATGACTTAAACTAAGTGAAGTAAAGTAAAGTAAAATATTACTTACCCATACTCTCTTGAGATTCCCCGGTGAAAAGGGTGACTTTCAAAGTAAATTATATGTAAGTGGACAGAAAAGGCGCATTTGCTGACTTCGGAATCTCCTAAGCCAGAAGCGGGAAGGGTTCCTCACGCCAAATAAGCGGTAGTTCGACCCTGGAAAAAGGCTTCTCTACTCATATAAATCACTTAAATGTGAGTGAATTTATAATATAACTCACTCCCAATAGTTTTAGGAATTAAGAAAGTTCCATTAGCTACATCATGACCCATACTTAATAAATGAAGGACTACATACTTATGGACGAATAGTCCATATTTGAATTCAGATCATTTGTTTAAAGACTGACCTACAAGCAGAGGGATGTTCTGACTGGACAGTCATCTACGAGAATAGACAGTTTTCTATGATCCACAAGGCAAAATTTAGTCTTTGAGATAGACCACCTAACTCAGTATCTGAGATATTTACACACACAAAAACCAGAGAACAAAAGAACAATTGTATCTCTTTGACACGCTTACTTTCTGAGATCTTACTCAATCTCTGGGACAGAACATATCAAATTTATCATCGTCATGTGCCGTGCCGATAAAAAATTGCTGATCACCAGTTTAGCCAGCTCACACGATCACCATATTACGGATCAGTTCAATGTATCTGGCTAGGTCATCCAAGTATTTATCTATTTGTTTTCTGTTGCATGTTACACTTATTAAAGTGTAAGTAGTTATGAAGCCAGGGGTTGGTGGAACGTGGATGTGTACTGATATTCAGGATGTGTTGACGTGTTGTGAGTGTAAACATGTGGTCAGTTGTAAGATGGGACACAGGTCACAGTTGAAATGGTGAGTTGTGAACGACGTGTTGTGCGAGGGACTGAGGTCCACGCTGAACTGAACCGCTGTTGGTGCTAGTGCGTGGTTGATTTGATTCAGTAGCTCTTTTTTTCTCTAAGACATAAAGGACCAAACCGTCTCTGATACAAACAAGACCAAACTTTGTCCCATGGCTGTATATAAAAGTAAATTGCAATTAGAAATAGGCTAAGAAACATAACTTCATGCACGATCTTTTTTCCCCCACACCAGTTCCCGTTTACGCCACAACCCGACCTTGATTGCTTTACCAGAAATGGGACATAAAATATCTTGAAGTTAAATCAGTCACGACTATGACAAGGTCACTGATTTCGTCTTGTCAGGACTTGGATGCGTAGAACCGAAGTCTTATCAGGGGCTTCAAGTGTCTGGTTGTTGGTCTGCTGTTTATGAATTCTCTAGGAATTGTGAGTAAAGGACATTTTTGTGAGTTTTCAATTCAATTTAATCTGATCGTTTTCAGCAGCCAGCGGAAAGTTCCGATTATTTCAGAAGAAAATCGTGGATATCAAGAATGTCATCAGTACCAATTTCATTATACATCCGAAGTATTGTCTATTCTATGTATGTGCTGAAAAAGGCTATTTAGCAGCAACGTTCACATTTTTTTTTTTTTTTTTTTTATATTGTGAAGCTCGCTTATATACTTTTCGTTCAGTTTTATATCTTTTCATTATCTTTTCTATTCACGCCTCCGCTTTGTTCACCTTCTCCAAAATGACCTTGACCACGTCTAGCTTTTCGTGCATCCGTTCACCAACTTGTGGTGCAGAATTCCTCAACATTTCTTAAACACAAAAGCTCCTGGGAAACGATTCAAAGGACGCTAACTACCTTGACCCTCTCAAACCAGGCTGGCCATACTGCCCAGTGTGCTTTGTGAGTATGTTCTAATAACATCATGTGTGGGCATCTGGTTCTTAAACTAGAGGAAAGCTGCTGTGACCGCCTCCATCCCCCATTCTCAGACTAGATGTTGTTGGTTCCTTAAGTAAGTATTGTGACCGCCTCCATCCCATGCTCTCAGATTATATGGCCTTATTAGCTGCTGTAAGCGACTTCCATTCGCTTTTATGCAGTAAACTTGACGAAAGCTGCTGTGACCGTCTCCACCCCCACATCTAGTTTGAAGTTATTAAACTTGACGAAAGCTGCTTGACCGTCTAGGTTCTGTCTATAATGTGTTTACCTCAAAGCTGTGCAGTCTTTCTCAATCTAGTAGTAGGTTCTTAAACTAGAGGAAAGCTGCTGTGACCGCCTCCACCCCTATTCTCAAACTAGATGTTGTGGTATTAAATGCTAGGCATTGTTGCACTAAGCGACGTCCATTCGCTTTTGCAGTGAACCCCGTGCACTTCCACACATGTTTCAAGTTAGATCATTGATTCATGTCTAGGTTCTGTATAATGTATTTACCTCAACTGTACAGTCTGTAGTCAAAAGAATTTGTTTCATTCACCGCGTTTTATTCAGAATGGCTCGGCCTGTCACCCCTCCTCTATCTCTATCTCTCTCTGTCTCTCTCTCTCTCTCTCTCTCTCTCTCTCTCTCTCTCTCTCTCTCTCTCTCTCTCTCTCTTTCTTTCCACAAAACAATCAACCAACCGACTGCATCGAACAATTACGAGATATGTAGCTCCAGCAAAGATCTTTCTGGCTTCCAGTATAAAAAAACAAATGTAATTCTTGAACCGCCAAATTTTTTAACATAAACCCGTGACCTTCTGGGTGCTAGAGAAACGGCTTAACTGGTGAAACTCACAACAAGAGCCTTGCCTACAGAAGACTGCGATTTCCACCAGGCTGGTGCCGCTCTGGATGTGCCCGAAGTTTAAGCTCATGTTTGAACGGATTATTTTGGAATTGCCATGTTGGCTTACAGTCCATACAGAGATGTTGTAATTTTGGAACAGCCAAGCATTGAAAAAGAAGAAGACCCCAAAATGCACCTACCTCAGCGAGGCTGACGATAAGGGATGTTGAGTCATTTCTCCTCTCTACAATTTGATGTCCGTTGAATGTGTCGGGGCTCTTGTGTCCGTGCCCGGAGTATTATGACGTCACTTTTGGTTGTTCTACTTACCGATATTTTTATGCTGACTGTTTCTTCACCTCTCAGGCAGATGCACTCGGACGTCGAAGGAAACACCCACAATTAAACATTTATTACATGCTTTTTTGAAGAAGAAAAAAGGGGGGAAGGAGCAGTTCGTCCTTTTGTCCCCTCCACAATGGGTCCTTGGAACCCATGGAGGGATGTGAAGATACCAGCAAGTTTAGAACCACTAACTATTGACCTTGTTCTCGCTGTTGTGTTTTTCTTATCTCTCTGTAATTATAAAAAGAAAGCTGCGATCATATGTATCCCTGCTAGCCCAGCTGGTACTCTATCGCTTGGACTCTACCTGGTGGCTGGAGGTTCAATAGAAGCCTTCAACTGACCAACATCTGACAAGTCAAGCAGTCATGACCGTCTTGTTTCTTTTTGCCTTGCTGGTCGATGTAATAGAGATGAAGACTGTGGACTTGAATGTACCTGAGGCAGTACAGAAAAGTACGTAGCTTTTAATACTCATTTGTTTTGGTCTCTTCTTCTTTTTCCCTCTTCTTTTCTCCTCCTACTTTTCATCTTGCACCGGCGAGGATCCTGATATACTTTGGGTAGATTTTTAACTCCAAACTTTGCCCGGGCAGCGCCGTTAGGTGACTTGTTTCCAATTTCCAACCGCCAAGGGATTTTTTACGTGCGCAAGAATACACACGGGCGTCTGATCTCACTACCCAGAGACCAGGACAAATTACTAGAACTCCACGTTAAAATGAAAAAAAAAAAAACCTTCACGGGGCTTGAAACCGGGACCTCCAGCACTAGAATCGGACCTCGAGACCACTCAGCATTTTGCCATGAAGTTGAAACTGCGATGGTCGGATTGTCTTGCAAGCACAGCTCTGCAGGTGACACTGTGCTGTTCGTCTGCTCTAACTTATAATTTGTCTAGAGGTTGGGACATCTGAGATCTGCTTTCCAGATTAAGATTTTTTTAAATTTTTGTTTTAGGAATATTTAACCTTTAGGTAGAAGCCAGGAGGGTAAAACCGATCCATTGCTGTGGTAGAGAGAGAGAGAGAGAGAGAGAGAGAGAGAGAGAGAGAGAGAGAGAGAGAGAGAGAGAGAGAAATGTATCACTAGTTCCTCTTGTAGTCTTTTTACCATTAACTCTATCTATCTATCTATCTATCTATCTATCTATCTATCTATCTATCTATCTATCTATCTATCTATCTATCTATCTATCTATCTATCTATCTATCTATCTATCTATCTATCTATCTATCTATCTATCTATCTATCTATCTATCTATCTATCTATCTATCTATCTATCTATCTATCTATCTATCTATCTATCTATCTATCTATCTATCTATCTATCTATCTATCTATCTATCTATCTATCTATCTATCTATCTATCTATCTATCTATCTATCTATCTATCTATCTATCTATCTATCTATCTATCTATCTATCTATCTATCTATCTATCTATCTATCTATCTATCTATCTATCTATCTAATCTATCTTTCTAATCTATCTATCTATCTATCTATCTATCTATCTAATCTTTCTATCTATCTATCTATCAAAATATCTATCTATCTATCAAAATATCTATCTATCTATCAAACTATCTATCTATCTATCTATCTATCTATCTATCTATCTATCTATCTATCTATCTATCTATCTATCTATCTATCTATCTATCTATCTATCTATCTATCTATCTATCTATCTATCTATCTATCTATCTATCTATCTATCTATCTATCTATCTATCTATCTATCTATCTATCTATCTATCTATCTATCTATCTATCTATCTATCTATCTATCTATCTATCTATCTATCTATCTATCTATCTATCTATCTATCTATCTATCTATCTATCTATCTATCTATCTATCTATCTATCTATCTATCTATCTATCTATCTATCTATCTATCTATCTATCTATCTATCTATCTATCTATCTATCTATCTATCTATCTATCTATCTATCTATCTATCTATCTATCTATCTATCTATCTATCTATCTATCTATCTATCTATCTATCTATCTATCTATCTATCTATCTATCTATCTATCTATCTATCTATCTATCTAATCTATCTTTCTAATCTATCTATCTATCTATCTATCTATCTATCTATCTAATCTTTCTATCTATCTATCTATCAAAATATCTATCTATCTATCAAAATATCTATCTATCTATCAAACTATCTATCTATCTATCTATCTATCTATCTATCTATCTATCTATCTATCTATCTATCTATCTATCTATCTATCTATCTATCTATCTATCTATCTATCTATCTATCTATCTATCTATCTATCTATCTATCTATCTATCTATCTATCTATCTATCTATCTATCTATCTATCTATCTATCTATCTATCTATCTATCTATCTATCTATCTATCTATCTATCTATCTATCTATCTATCTATCTATCTATCTATCTATCTATCTATCTATCTATCTATCTATCTATCTATCTATCTATCTATCTATCTATCTATCTATCTATCTATCTATCTATCTATCTATCTATCTATCTATCTATCTATCTATCTATCTATCTATCTATCTATCTATCTATCTATCTATCTATCTATCTATCTATCTATCTATCTATCTATCTATCTATCTATCTATCTATCTATCTATCTATCTATCTATCTATCTATCTATCTATCTATCTATCTATCTATCTATCTATCTATCTATCTATCTATCTATCTATCTATCTATCTATCTATCTATCTATCTATCTATCTATCTGTCTGTCTGTCTGTCTGTCTGTCTGTCTGTCTGTCTGTCTGTCTGTCTGTCTGTCTGTCTGTCTGTCTGTCTGTCTGTCTGTCCGTCCGTCCGTCCGTCTGTCCGTCCGTCCGACTGTCTATCCTTCTCATCTCAATTGTGTTCCATCTACTTGACCATGTTTTCGACACCTATCGCGCCTGGAAGGAAGCTCAGTGTGCTATGGCAGTTTGGGCTGTTTCTCCACTGACCCACCTTTCACTGGTTCAGTGAGACCCATCTCTGTGATCCCGGAGTCGCCCGACACAATCCAGTAAGTTGTGTGGGTCAGTTGTGTTAGTCATTTGTGTGGGTCAGTTTTGTGGTTCATTTGTGTGTGTCACTTGTGTGAGTCATTTGTGTGGGTCAGTAGTGAGAAAGCTTGAGTCAGCTGTTACTGATCAATCATGTTTGTGGCGACACTGTGAGTAAGTTGTGACGGAGCTTGTGTGAACTGTATTAATTACTGCATCATTAGTTTAGAATTGTGTGTTTTCAAAATGTGTGATGAATATGAAGAAACATGACATATCCTCCTACTAGAGTTGAGTTGAGATGTTTCAAAATTCGAGGGCTGCGTGGTCTCGAGGCATGACGTCCGACTCGAATGCTGAAGGTTCTGCGTTCAAGTCCCGGTGAAGGCTAGGTTTTTTTCGGTATACATCTAGAACTTTCCCCTGGTCTCTGGGTAGTAAGATCGGACGCCCGTGTGTACTGTTGTGCACGTAAAAAAAAATCCCTTGGCAGTTGGAAATCAAAAAGCGTAGCATAACGATGCTGCCCTCTGCTAAGGAGTTCGTGCACTCGAACTCAGGTTTGAGTTAGAAGTGGAACAGAGCACTTATGGGTTTCTATCATTGTGTCGTGATGTTTATCCGTTGTAAAAACCTAAACTCAAACCTGATTCAAGAATCGATACCACAGCGCTTAGGGCATTGTCACAAGCGCCCCCTTGTTTGAGATGTAAACATACTGGCTGAATCTTTTAATTCTGTATGGAAATACTATCATAGAGTAACATTAAAAACAAGAGTCCTCATTGAGACAGATGCAAGCCGTAAACTTGTGAAAACTATAAAACATACGGACATGTTCTGAGAAATAATTGAATCGAGAACTTCGTAACAGCTGTCAAGATTGCTGGGAAGAGAGAAAGAGGAAGGCAAAGAAAAAGATTAATATCTGGATGGCATGACCTCGTGAATGGAGCGAGACAAGAACATTGACTGTATCCCTTATTCTTTTCATCGTGTGAGATGGCGAAACACGACGACTTGCGCTTACCCGGACGGAACATGATGATGTTTGTGTATCTTTTTCTTGTATAAGTGGTGTGTTAACTGAGATGTGGTTATGCTCAGGGGACAGTGGGGGACCTTAAAAGGACTAACCCATATAAGGACTCTTCAGCAAGGACATACATGAGGACAAGGTCTCAAGGACAGAAGACAGGACAAGATACCCTTGAAGGACAAACATCACATGAGATACAGCCACAATTGCACAAAACGGAGTTACACCCTAAAGACTGCAGGACAGGCACCAAAAGCGGGACCCTGTTCAGACTGATGGTTGAGGTTAGTTGCGTATCCTTTACAAGACGTTGCAGAACCAACCCCCGCAGTCCCTGACTGTTGTGTGGTTTCTCTGGGCAAATTTATGTCCAGTAGTTTGCCATTGTTGCCTGGACGGTCGGCTCTCTGATACCACTGTCGAAACCAACGCAAGGTGCATGGCCCGCAGCTGGGATCGGACCCGGCACCCCGGCATTACGAAGCGTTCAAATCGACTCAGTCACAAAGCCGACGTTCAGACTGATAGCACAACATAAAGCTATGAACAAATACGTCAACAAATCTTGGCAAGCAAACAATTTAGGCTTTTTAACTTCGTGCTAATAAACATAGACCATAATTATAACAGAAGCTGTTTTATGTTGGGTTTTAACATCATCAATATTTGACAACCCTTCCCCTCCCCCCCCCCCTACCCCTTTTTTTCGCAGCCCTAAACTAACAGCAAATGTTATGTGTGGTTGTGTGAGGCTTATGTTACCGTTGCATGTGCGATCTGAATACGTGATTCATTTATTAATTATCAGTTAGGTTAGTTGCGAATCCTTTAAAGGATGTTGCAGAACCAACCCCAACAGCTCCTGGCTGTTGTGTGGTTTCTCTAGGCAAATTTACGTCCAGTAGTTTGTCATTGCTCTCTGGACGGTCGGCCCAATGATATCACTGTCAAAACCAACACAAGGCGTAAGGCCCGTAGCTGGGATCGAACCTAAAATCCCGGCATTACGACGCCTTCGCATCGACTTAGCCACAGAGCCGACTATTTATTAGTTACGTTTAGCTAAAAAAAATAAATCAGATAGTTTGAACGTGGTGTCAACACTCTTTTACAGGAGCCGGTTTCTGTTGTATGCCCGCGAATCAAAAACAGTGGCCCAGAGTTTGGACCCCAGACACCCAGAGAATGTGGGTACCTCCTGGAGCCGCTTCAAACAGAGGCCAACCAAGTTTATTGTACATGGTTTCCTTGACAACGTCAACATTAGTCCATGGATGCTGGTCAGTTCCTTTAGTTTTTGTTTCGTGTATTTTGCACATTTTTTTTTAAAGACTGCATCTTTCTACAGGGTGTTTCTAAAATCTCATTACATTGCATTTAGAACTAATCTGCGAAACGAAGTACATGACGTCATTTTAAAAATGTGCTGCACACTTCACTGTCAAACAATGTGTAGTGAATGGCTGTCGTCTGTTGAAGTATTTCGTTGCACTCAAAACAGAATGGTGTTATCAACGGAAGAAAAAAACGTTTTTTTTTTTTTTTATAACTGTTCTGAAATAGCGGTCGATAGACACGGATGGTTGTTCAAAGACTGATAGCAAGATCTTCTAATAAACAACCTCTTTACCGCATTACGATTAGACATTTTTTTGTGAAAAAGTTGCTGTGCATATTTGATTGGTAGTTTGAACTACCGCAAACCGGCTTTAGATCGTGCCGTTACTATTGAAATAATTTAATGACTTTGTTTGAGCATTTTTTAATGACGTCATGTACTTCGGTTTTCAAATGTTTTGCATAAAAAGGTAAAAGTAAAGGGAATATTATTGACTCCATTGCATCAGGTTTAATCCCATATGGCTCAGCCGCCTGCAGAGAGCGTCACACAGAGCACGACCCCCGTAGTTCCGGCGACGATCCCTAGGGAATTCCGCAAAAACGGCACTCGTGAACTGAACGGCCTGCCTTGAAACGAACCCACGATCTTCAGAGCTTGACCACTTCGCATACAAAGATACTGAGGCTTGACAAACACCTTACCTATACTTTCCATATAGTATCGAAAAGACCCAGCATAGAAAGACGAATAATACAAGTGGTAATGATCTGCGGGCCACTTGCTAGGCCTCCCCGGGCCGAAGCTGAACTGCCCCGATCTACGTCCTACAGCCCTCGCTTCTGCTTCTTCTTAAAGTCCATGCTGTGTGGCGTTGTAGTCATGTCTATCTGCAACCTTCTGTCTCGTGTACTTTCAGTCAACTCTGACACAGATTGTCTTCCATAGTCCATGCCGTGTGGCGTTGGTAATCATGTCTTTCTGCAACCTTCTGTCTGGTGTACTTTCAGTCAACTCTGGCACAGAAGTTCTTCCATAGTCCATGCTGTGTGGCGTTGGTAGTCATGTCTATATGCAACCTTCTGTCTGGTGTACTTTCAGTCAACTCTGGCACAGATGTTCTTCCATAGTCCATGCTGTGTGACGTTGGCAGTCATGTCTTTCTGCAACCTTCTGTCTTGTGTACTTTCAGTCAGATCTGGCACATATTGTCTTCCATAGTCCATGCCGTGTGGCGTTGGTAGTCATGTCTATCTGCAACCTTCTGTCTGGTGTAATTTCAGTCAACTCTGGCACATATGGTCTTCCATAGCCCATGCCGTGTGGCGTTGGTAGTCATGTCTATCTGCAACCTTATGTCTGGTGTACTTTCAGTCAACTCTGGCACATATGGTCTTCCATAGTCCATGCTGTGTGACGTTGGTAGTCATGTCTTTCTGCAACCTTCTGTCTTGTGTACTTTCAGTCAACTCTGACTATTATACTTCATGCCAAGTTGTCAAACTGTCCTGAATCTTTTCTCTCTGTCTCCCTCTGCCTCTCCTTCACTCTAGCTTTCCTGCTGTCACGATGTACTCTAGTTTTCCACTTCTCATCACATGACCAGATAATATAGATGTCTCTTTCTGATGTGCGCAGTCAGTTCTCTTCGTGATTCAGTTTTTTTTTTTTTTTTTTAATACATCGTCATTATTCTTTTTCTCTGCACACGATATTCTCATAATTTGTCTATAAAACCAAATCTCCTCAGCTTCCAAATAAGTTTTCACTAATCTACCAACTGTCTGTGATTCACTTCCATATACCAAGATAGGATTTATATAGCTTTAACTACGGCCTACTCTGTTGGAATGAGTCTTGATTTAACTTGGAATGAACCTTGGTTTGCACCGACTTTAACGACTAGGGTTGGCAACACAAACGCCGCTCAGCTCCTTTGTACATTCTGTCAGTTTATTCTGGTCCATGTATTCAACATGCTTAAACAATTATTCTCAATTCTATCACTCGCGACATACTCGAGTACTAACCATTCGCGCAACATAAAAACTACATCTTTAATTACTACAACCGTCTTCTCTGACTTCTGATGATCGACTGACCACGAGGCTAGCTCAGGCTTCCCCTCGCTCACTCCACCGGCCACAAGTATCTCGTGCCGTCACTTGTAGCACGGACTTCCTGCTTGCCACAATGTACTCGTGGAGACCATGCAAAGCAGGGTCATCACATCTATTTATAGGCCAAACAGGTCAACGGGAATTCCCGTTCTTGTGCAAGAATGGAGTCCCTCTGTGTCCACAGTTTTTATCGAGGCGATGTATACACAAATTAAACTACAGTTTCATTAATTTTCGACATATTTTATAGAACTATACATCATTTTAAGGTAAATAAGAGTGCTATTTAAATATAACAATAAAGGCTCTTACAGACAGACAAAAATGCTTTTGCTACAGTCAGCATGAACATAAACATCAATAAAGTTTGGATGAAAAACTGAAAGTTATTTCAGCAAAAGTTTACAGAAGGACCTGCTTTAACTAACTGTTGCTTCAACAGGAAATGAAAGACGAACTCTTGACCCACGGAGACTACAATGTGGTGATCGTTGATTGGTCAGGCGGGAACCTGCCACCCTACGACCAGGCCTCGTCCAATACCCGGCTTGTGGGAGCTCAGATCGCCGCAGTCATCAACCAACTCATTGTAAGTCTACTGCACATCCACGCATGTATTTCTTATTATTTAAATTCCAGACAAATATGTTGTAAGATGCAACTAGTTGAGAATTTGTTGAAACTGGATGCTTTAGACCAAAAGGTGCATATATCACAGTCTTTTAACTGTAAGGTCGCCCAGCTCGCTAGCGCAGTTGGTTAAACCTGACTGCGCGGCGATCTGGGGACGAACTCCTAGTGGTCGGGGTTCCCGCCCAGGGGTAGACAGAAAAGCCACATTCCTCTCAGATTTACTGTACCTATCATGGAATCAAGGCAGAAGGGTTGCGATACCAATAGTACCGAGCCAAAGGGTTTACAACTCATGGTTTCTGGATACTTAAAATCAAAAACAAAACAAAAAGCTCTCATGTTAAATCAGTGTTGTTGTATGGAGCGGAATCATGAAGAATAACTAAGACAATTACAAATAACCTACAAACATTCATTGATCGGTGCCTGCGCAGAATATAAGGAATTAAATGGTATGATAGAATCACTAATGTAGAGCTTTGGGGTCGAATAAAATACGTTCTGAATTCTTTCCATCAATATACACAAGTAGTATTGTCTGTCTGGATGCATTGTTCGTTGAATCGTCAGAAGACTTCATTATAAGTTAATTTGACTCTGTAGTACAGAACTTGACGAAGAGCAACGAAATACACCAGGCAATAAATTGTGCAATGCATTGTTTGTGCCCGCAATATTTAAACTTACTATGTGGGAATACTGTTTTCAACTTTCGCTTATTTTTAAGTTGCATGCTGAATGTTGTTGCAGAAATCCACGGAGGTCAGTGCTAGTAGTTTTCACATCATCGGACACAGCCTGGGGTCTCACGTGGCTGGCTACGCTGGGGAGAGAGTACCCGGAATGGGGCGCATCACAGGTAAGATTCCCATCAAGTACCCGGAATGGGGCGCATCACAGGTAAGATTCCCATCAAGTACCCGGAATGGGGCGCATCACAGGTAAGATTCCCATCAAGTACCCGGAATGGGGCGCATCACAGGTAAGATTCCTATCAAGTACCCGGACTGGGGCGCATCACAGGTAAGATTCCCATCAAGTACCCGGAATGGGGCGCATCACAGGTAAGATTCCTATCAAGTACCCGGACTGGGGCGCCTCACAGGTAAGATTCCTATCAAGTACCCGAACTGGGGCGCATCACAGGTAAGATTCCTATCAAGTACCTGGACTGGGGCGCATCGCAGGTAAGATTCCTATGAAGTACCCGGAATGGGGCGCATCACAGGTAAGATTCCTATCAAGTACCTGGAATTGGGCGCATCACAGGTAAGATTCCTATCAAGTACCCGGAATGGGGCGCATCATAGGTAAGATTCCTATCAAGTACCCGGAATGGGGCGCATCACAGGTAAGATTCCGATCAAGTACCCGGAATGGGGCGCATCACAGGTAAGTTTCCTATCAAGTACCCGGAATGGGGCGCATCACAGGTAAGATTCCTATCATATACCCGGAATGGGGCGCATCACAGGTAAGATTCCTATCAAGTACTCGGGCTGTGGCGCATCACAGGTAAGTTTCCTATCAAGTACCCGGAATGGGGCGCATCACAGGTAAGATTCCTATCATATACCCGGAATGCGGCGCATCACAGGTAAGATTCCTATCAAGTACTCGGGCTGTGGCGCATCACAGGTAAGATTCATATCAAGTACCCGGAATGGGGCGCATCACAGGTAAGATTCCTATCAAGTACCCGGGCTGGGGTGCATCACAGGTAAGATTCCTATCAAGTACCCGGAATGGGGCGCATCACAGGTAAGTTTCCTATCAAGTACCCGGAATGGGGCGCATCACAGGTAAGATTCCTATCAAGTACCCGGAATGCGGCGCATCACAGGTAAGATTCCTATCAAGTACCCGGGCTGGGGCGCATCACAGGTAAGATTCCTATCAAGTACCCGGAATGCGGCGCATCACAGGTAAGATTCCTATCAAGTACCCGGAATGCGGCGCATCACAGGTAAGATTCCTATCAAGTACCCGGGCTGGGGCGCATCACAGGTAAGATTCCTATCAAGTACCCGGAATGCGGCGCATCACAGGTAAGATTCCTATCAAGTACCCGGAATGGGGCGCATCACAGGTTAGATTCCTATCAAGTACCCGGGCTGGGGCGCATCACAGGTAAGATTCCTATCAAGTACCCGGAATGCGGCGCATCACAGGTAAGATTCCTATCAAGTACCCGGAATGCATCGCATCACAAGTAAGATTCCTATCAAGTACCCGGAATGCGGCGCATCACAGGTAAGATTCCTATCAAAGCAAACCACAAGTAGAACTAGTCAGTTTTATAATACAGCAAACACAAACGACAAGTGAGCGTTGCGGCTAAACAGTCTTCATCAGCACATTACGTAAATCAAAACTACCACATGAACAAAGAAGAATGCGCAGTATAACTTAACCGACCATGCAACTGTTGACAGAGTCCCAGGGAATCCCCATGTGCGAAGCGCCCAAACGGGCACCTTCCCGTAAATTATATAGGATCAAGATGAGTTGAGTTTAGTTGAGTCAAGAATTGACATCACAGCACTCGGCGCATTCCCATGCATTGCTCCGTCCTCATCTTCAGCAGTCAAAGCAGTGTTCCAATACTGATGGTACAAACTGGTTATATGTCCGTCTTGCCTTTCCTCTGAGTGTAATGAGCCGGTCAGACCCTCTGGTTACGCCTTATTCCAGGTCATAAAAATCTTCTATCTCTACTGATTCCGTTGCTTGTTCCCAAAGGGCCTTGACCACATCTGCCTTGTCATGTATCAATTCCCCACTCAGTGGTGCAGATCCAGCCAGTTTGTATGTCTGTTCATTACCCATCACGCTGGCATGTCTTGGAGAAAAGATCCAAAGTATGGTGTGAACCTGTGACCTTTCCATTGAAGCTAGCGACTCTGCTCGAAGCATCCCTGTCTGCACCTTTCTCAGAATGCTGTTAGAGTATGGTTACAATTACGACATGTGCATCCAACTTGTTCTCTAGCCACCGGAGAGAAGCAGTTACCGCGTCCACCTCCATTCTCATGCTAGATGTTCCGATGTCATTTACCATTCTGTCTTGCACTAAAGATTTTCCATTGGCTGTCGCTAGGAACCCCCCGGCACTTCTCTTTCCTCTCAACACTGAACCATCTGTATAGATAATCAGATCACCTGGGCGTGAATTATCGTGAATCAACTGTTGGACTTCCACCTCCGTAGCACCCGCTGGCCACTCTTTGCACACCCGGCCCAATGTGATCATAACCCTTGTGTGTGAAAAAGTGTCTGGAGAACAATGGGTATCGCTTTGAGCAACTGTTGTTACTTCATACATCACGTGTATCTTGTCTGCATCTCTTCATGTCGAAATAAATTTGGTATCAAAATGTTCAATTGGTTTTTTTTTTTTTTTTTTTAATTAAAAAAACTCGCAGCACATTGCCACGGTAATGTATTCAAAAAAGATAGAAGAAATCTTATAGCCTAGAGAGAATGAGGTACCTGGATGTAACCAGAGAGTTTGGCCGGCTCATTACACTCAGAGAAAAGGCAAGACGGACATATGACTAGATTGTGACCGGTACCATCAGTTTTGCAACTCTGCGATAGCTGCGGAAGATGCGGACAGAGCACAGGGTAATGCCCCAAGTACTGTGATGTCAATTCTCATCATTATTAATTATTAATTGTTACCTATATATAAATATAATTATTAATTGTTGACTATATTTATATATATAATTATTAATTGTTAACTATATTTATTTATATAAAATTCTGATGATCAGGTCTAGACCCGGCTGGCCCATACTTTGAGAACACCGACAAGTCGGTCAGATTGGATCCATCAGACGCCGTGTTTGTAGACACTATACATACTGACGCCAACAACCTGCTGCAGTTAGGTGGGTATTGTCCATGACTGACACCTATAGAGGCTGCAACCAGTGCTTATGTTCTTTCATAGGTCTTCTTCTTTTTTTATTACTTCTTTTTCTTCGTCTTCTTCTTCTTTTTTTTCTTCTTCTTCTTCTTCTTCTTCTTCTTCTTCTTCTTCTTCTTCTTCTTCTTCTTCTTCTTCTTCTTCTTCTTCTTCTTCTTCTTCTTCTTCTTCTTCTTCTTCTTCTTCTTCTTCTTCTTCTTCTTCTTCTTCTTCTTCTTCTTCTTCTTCTTCTTCTTCTTCTTCTTCTTCTTCTTCTTCTTCTTCTTCCTCTTCTTCTTTTTCTTCAGCAATTCGAGCCTTTAGGGTTCATTGCTGCAGATATCATCTGTCTCGGGAGTCTGCTTGATCAAGTCTTTTGCCTCGTGCACCGAAGGTCCTTGGTTCGTGGGCACCTGGTTCAGTTCACGGGTGAGTTTTTTACGGAGATCCCTGGAGATTGTCGCTAGCGCTACAAAGTTTGTGCTTTGTTCGACATTCTTGGCGGGTGGCTGGCCCTTCTGTTTAGACTAACTGAGCCCTATGGTATAAAACCAGGTGCAATTAAAATGATTCCCTAAATTTTAACTGTAACTTTTGTTTTTTAAACTTTATTTATATCTGTGACTGGAATTCTCTTTTCAGTTGGCTGCTCCAAGTGTTTGTAGATCTGTCTGGATATGATTTGTCCATTGCCTTTTTGGTCTGCCTTATGGTCTCTGACTATTTAACTCTCTAGTGTACACAGTGTTTTTGTCAAGTGACAGTGGTAGCAATACCCATAGTATTTTCTTAATAAGTCGCACTAACAGAAACAGCACCTGGCTATATCCACCGACCGACATGATTGTTGTTGATCTCGCCTACTCCAGGGTTCGGCATGAAAGAGGCTGTAGGTCACTCGGACTTCTACCCCAACCTGGGTCATGACCAACCCGGGTGCACCAGAGATCCAATCATCAACATCATCGAGAGCGGTTTAGTTCAAGGTACGTTTGCCACATAAATATTTTATTTGTAGTGTGTGAATTTTGGGTAAACTGGGGCGTGAATTTGAATTTTATGTGTGAGTAAATTTCTTCTGTCGGGGTTTGTGGCTTAGGCGTTGTGAGCGAGCTTCGTAATGCCGGGTGCCGGGTTCGATCCTAGCTGCGGGCCTTGTGTCTAGCGTTGGTTTCGACAATGGTATCGAGAAGCCGAAGGTCCAGAAGCAATGGCAAACTACTGGACGTAGATTCGCCGAGAAAAACCACAACCAGAATATGCTGGAGTTTTTTCTGCAATGGCTTGTAAAGGATATGTAACTAACTTTAACACGTCTTCTGCGTTCATCTGAAAATGTGATTACTTTGTGCCCGTTTACAGCATGGCTGCGATATTTGTGGGTCCTGTTGGTATTTGTTGACCTGATTAGCCTTCCCGGATTTGTAGCGGCTAGATGCTCGCCTGCCGATGCGAATGTCGTGGGTTCAGGACCTGGTGGCTGGGCACGCAAACCCGTTTATACATTTTGCCCTTCCATACATGATTTTATTCAGACATCAAGTAATATGCCATAAATAGCATCAACATATTAAATACAAGCACTGGAATGTGCACATTTCTAACTACATTGAGCCGTAATGAATCTCGGGAAAATGTGAATTATTTCTCACATATTTTATATCTTCTATGGGGGCAATGTAATCTGTGCTCAGATAATATTCAAACATTTTCCGATTGTATGTATAGGAACTAGTGATATTTTTGATTTATTGTGGAAGATAGTTCCACAATTGAGCAGGGGAGTACGCCAAACTTGTCGTCTTGTATAGATATATTCTAAGTTTAGGGATATATTATATGTTTAGGCGTTTGCTATGCCTTCCATTATATTTAGACAACGGCCATATGTAACATGGTGCCTTTAGGGATAATATTTTGAATATCATATAACACAAGCCACACAATTAGAAAAAGACAGGAAACGACATGTAACCCTTCTCTGTGACGCTCTGCGGCGTTAGCAGTGGGACAAATGATGAGGAAAGAAACCCATTAAATACTGTGTAACTGTTGTGTTGCCCGCCAGGTATGGAGGAGGTGGCGGCCTGCAACCATCTGCGATCCATCAAATATTTTTCCGAGAGCATCAACTCCCAGTGTCCATTTTTGGGTTTTCCCTGTGACAGCGAGGAGGATTTTGAGGTGAACTGTTTGTGTCCGTGCAGTTTGTGTTGTCTTTTATTCTTGTTGACATGTTTGTCAGTCAGTCAGTCAGTCACCCAGTTAGTCACCCAGTTAGTTAGTCAGTTAGTTAGTCAGTTAGTTAGTTAGTTAGTTAGTTAGTTAGTTAGTTAGTTAGTTAGTTAGTTAGTTAGTCGGTGTCAGTCAGTCAGTCAGTCAGTCAGTCAGTCAGTCAGTCAGTCAGTCAGTCAGTCAGTCAGTCAGTTAGTTAGTTAGTTAGTTTGTTTGTTTGTTTGTTAGTCAGCCAGTCAATTAGTCAGTCAGTCAGTTAGTTAATTAGTTAGTTAGTTAGTTAGTCAGTCAGTCAGTCAGTTAGTTAGTTAATTAGTTAGTTAGTTAGTCAGTCAGTCAGTCAGTCAGTCAGTTAGTCAGTCAGTCAATTCAGTCAGTCAGTCAGTCAGTTAGTTAGTTAGTTAGTTAGTTAGTCAGTCAGTCAGTCAGTCAGTTAGTCAGTCAGTCAGTCAGTTAGTCAGTCAGTCAGTCAGTCAGTCGAGTAGTCAGTTAGTCAGTTAGTTAGTTAGTCAGTCAGTCAGTCAGTCAGTTAGTTAGTCAGTCAGTTAGTCAGTCAGTCAGTCAGTCAGTCAGTCAGTCAGTCAGTCAGTTAGTAAGTCAGTCAGTCAGTCAGTTAGTTAGTTAGTTAATTAGTTAAGTTAGTTAGTTAGTCAGTCAGTTAGTTAGTCGTTCAGTCAGTCAGTCAGTCAGTCAGTCAGTCAGTCAGTTAGTTAGTCAGTCAGTTAGTTAGTCATCAGTCAGTCAGTCCACAAGTGCTCGGATCCTTCTCACAGTATATCCTGCAGTGTGTTACGGCCCGTGACACCAGTTCTGTGTTGGTTTCTAATTCTTCTTTGGCCCAATACATGTGGGTATGTGTGGAGATGTGTGGGTGGATATGTGTGGTGTGTGTGGATATGAATGCAGATGTGTGTCTTTTTAAAAGTTTGGATACATCTGGTAGTTAGCATACGTCTCCAGGCGTGCTGGCCTGTGGGTGTGTCTCGCGTGTGGGTGTGTATCGCATGTGGGTGTGTATCGCGTGTGGGTGTGTATTGCGTGTGGGTGTGTTTCGTGTGTGGGTGTGTATTGCGTGTGGGTGTGTCTCGTGTGTGGGTTTGTCTTGCGTGTGGGTGTGTCTCGTGTGTGGGTTTGTCTTGCGTGTGGGTTTGTCTTGCGTGAGGGTGTGTCTCGCGTGTGGGTGTGTCTCGCGTGTGGGTGTGTCTCGCGTGCAGGTGTGTCTTGCGTGCAGGTGTGTCTCGCGTGTGGGTTTGTCTCGTGTGTGGGTGTGTATTGCGTGTGGGTGTGTATTGCGTGTGGGCGTGTCTTATGTGTGGGTTTGTCTTGCGTGTGGATGTGTCTCGCGTATGGGTGTGGTCGCGTGTGGGTGTGTCTCGCGTGAATGCGCTATGTGTGTGGGTACGTAAGTCTACGGTTGTATATGGACGCGTTTCAGTGTGGTATGTTTGTGTGTGTGTTTGTGTGTGTGTGTGTGCATGCGTGTGTGTGTGTTGGATGTGTACAAGCTTTGTATACTATGTATGTGTGTCTGTATTTACATGCATGCATACAGACAGACAGACAGACAGACAGACAGACAGACAGACAGACAGACAGACAGACAGACAGACAGACAGACAGACAGGCAGGCAGGCAGGCAGGCAGGCAGGCAGGCAGGCAGGCAGGCAGGCAGGCAGACAGACAGACAGACAGACAGACAGACAGACAGACAGACAGACAGACAGACAGACAGACAGACAGACAGACAGACAGACACACACACACACACACACACATAAAACGTGTATGTATTGGTCCTTGTACGTAATGATGATTCCCCCATCACACAACCAGTGGAGGATATCATGAAAATATATCAAACCAAACCACAGGTACAGCTGGTCAGCTGTACATTGTCACATATACACTAAAAACAAGTGTGGCTAGGGAGCCTTCATGACACATAATATGAATGTACATACTTTAAATAAGAACAAGAGTGCACAGACAGAATCACTTATCTGGAGTGTCTCCAAGTGAAATCACATATCTACTTGCACAAGTCGCTGATCCCCTCACCCGACCATCCACAGAACAACGCCTGTCACTCCTGTACAAGCGCCGGCTGTGCTGCTATGGGCTTCAACGCCAACCAACACATTCCACCCAACGGTCAACAGGTCAAATATTACCTCACCACAGCTGACCGTGCCCCATTTTGTCGTAAGTTCGCCTGTTAACGTGTCATTAAAAAATATGTCTTTTTAAAGATGTTAGAAATACAGAACGCTCCATAGGTTTCCGTAAAGGGGGGGGGGGGGGGGGAGGGCTATTTATTTTTAAAATAAAAACCACTGAGCACACTTATTCGAGTTGACCCACATAGGAATGCAGGTGGCACATGGCTGCTAGAGCCCTTAAATTTGCCCGATATATCCCTTCTTTGAAGGTTAACGGGGTGTCTGGGATCTACCGTGTTGGTCTGCCGCCCAGACTGAGGTTTTTGAATCTTAGGATGCTATGGGAGTGTAATATGTGGTCGTCTAGGGGATGATGTGTCTACTGGATGATCTTATACACGCTCTAAGATGACATAGCTGTGACAAGCCGACACCGTCTCCAAGATACAAGACTGTTTATTGACATCTAAACACTGACATATATTGTCCCGTCCACGTCCTAATCAACAGCTTTCACGCAACACATTGTTCAGACGCCAACACGCTGACTCCTCACACATTCACCAACCAAAGTTCTGCCTAGTCAGTTCCACATCTCCGCATAGATGGATCTGGTCATTGCATCAAGTTTCACATCTGACTTGGCTGGACTTGGCTTCGATGAATGTTGTCGTCTGGTCTTCCTCTCGCAACTATCAGTTTCACGTTCTCATTCGCGCGAACACTCTCACATCCTCTTGTTCTGACGGTCAACACATACTGTCTGATCAGACTGGGGTCTGAACTTATACCCAGTGTTCGTTCCCCGTGGCAACACGTGGTTGTTCTTGGGTTCCATGTAGCGACGTGTGGTCGTTCTCCTTGGATTCCGCGTGATAACTCGTGGTTGTGCCCTATCTTGAAAACCTCGGTTAATCCGAGTATCCGGCTTCTCTCGTTATTATTGTGAACTTGAGGCTTTCCCCCCAACCTTCCCAATCAGGGTGAAAATATCCCCTATTACAATCTTACAAGTTTACTTTTTTCCCTCTCATTACAGTTAATGGATTGGAGTATATTTTATGTATTTCTTGGGTATTTTCACTGGTATCTGTGGAAAAAAATTATCCCACCACTTTTGGGTTGCTCATGTTCTTCTTTTGGAACTTAGTCTTCGTGCCCAGTGAGTACCATGTGTCGATTCCATTACACTTAATGGAATCGACACCCCAGGCAATACTCTTTCAATTGGGGAAGACCATAAAGGCTCTACGCTTTCCCCACTTCATCCCACAGTCTGTCAAACGACAGAAAATCACCACAGGCACTTCTCTTTCAAGGGCGGAAATCCATAACGGCTATGGAATAACAATGTAAAAACCCATAAAGTCCCACCCTTGCCACTGTACTCACTGAACACCCAATGTTGTTGTTTCCATTGGATATTCATGTGTCCCCTTATAGGTGCTATGGACTACATTACCTTTACCCACAGTGATTTCCCACCAGTCAATATTGCATTCCCAATTACTATCTCCCTTAAAGTTTCCAAAATATTCCAAAGTATCTTACTGTATGTTCATCAATTAAATTCCCTGTATATACTTTCAATTGATGAATAACATCATTACATGTACTAAACATTAAATAATATCATTTATTAATACATGTTTCTCAATACATATATGTAATTTCAATTTTGTTCACAATAAATTTTCATGTTCAATTCTTAAGCATTTTGTTACACCACTGTATGGTACGTCGCTTATGTCTTTGTCCTGTCTGTCTTTACAATGAAATTGTATAAAATCATTTACATTTTATACACACAATATACACATACAAATATTATATGTATCGATCAGCATTTTCACAAACTACTTATTCAATCTTACGATCCTAAAATAAAAAACAAAATTGTCATTTTACAATCTTGACATGACATCTGGCAGATGATTTTGTATCCCACTGATGTGCTGTATTTTAAATTTCAAATTGTGCAATTAGTAATGGCCATCTGTAAACTCTGGAGTTATTTGTTGATTCCATAGTCATTAATTTTGTGAGTCCCAAATTATTTGATAAAATTGTAAATTCCTTGTTTAAAAGTTCAGACAATGGTGCAGTTAATGCTGCCAAGTTTGAAATAAAATTTTCCATAGAAATTGATTAAACCCAATAATGCTTGCAATTGTTTGATGATTTGACATCACTTATGTTAAAATATTGTTTCAAGATGTTAAACATGATATATTACCTAATTAATTTCATATGCCTATTATTTCCTTTAAACTAATAAATTCTACACAGTTATGTAATTCATCGGTAATAAATACTTTTGTACCAGATATGTGGCTAGGTTATTTACATAGTCACGCACAGTTATTAAAAAGTTCATCTGATTATATAAAATTCATGACAAATTAAAACATTAATTTTCCCCACACAACAAATTCATAGTCGCAGAATGTGGAAAGTGTTTGGAATAAACCTGTTGTAAAAGTGATAGTTTCAGCAATACTAATGCCAACCGTGTAACACTTTTTAGAATTTGATAACTCTCTGTAGATAGATAGAGTTTCGAGATGTAAAAGCTTTTGTGAACAGGATATATAGTTACCAAAGGTTGTAGTGCATAAATTATGCTGCAAGTATAGGATAGATCTAAATTCATTCCACCTGCTGTAATTAGAGTCTGACATATGATGAAAAATATGTGTTGCAGTAACCACATATACTGGAATGTATGCTGTGAGCAGTTGTTCTCTTGCTGACCTCGACTGTGATGTTTGTTTTCTCTTGGGTAGTGATTATCCCTGGTTGCCGAAATAACTGTTCCAGGTCTTTCTGTTTCTGTTTCAGGCTCCAAAAACCTGTAAGATTTTTGACTGCAAGTACATTGAATAAAACCATTTATTTGACAGCCATGTATTTTGTGTTTTAACTTAATCTTTGTGTTTGTTTGAATTAGATTACAACTTTCACTTTTAATCTTCTTTTCTTTCATATTAGGCATTTTTCTTTTATAATAATTTTTCTTCTGTTTTTTTTTTTTCTGTACATTATCTGGCATACTGGATCTGGGATTTGAATACATGTCTTTCATACTATCCTTCTCATTCATTTCAATCTTTCCATTGCTCTTTTTCATACTTTGTTCTTCTGAAGTCATAATTCTCGTCACTGTAGCTGTCTCATTTTCTGTGCACTTCCAGTCTCTACGCTGTCATTCAAATCATTATATCCATTATTCTCATTCAGGCATTCTTCTTTCATTAATTTCAGTGGATGTGGATTTTGGAGTAACATCATTCACTCTTTCATTCTCTCTACCGATTGGAATGTTCTCTGCCTCCCATTTACTGATGTCTTCCTCAGATATCTTCTCTAAGTCTTCCCTGTTGCCTATGATTATATCAGCACATGGTGATGGTAACATAGCAAAGTTAATGCTCTTTCTTAGATATGGCGTTGACACACAAACATACGCCAATTTGTATCGTTCTAAATTACCTCCAAAAGTTCTACATGTAATAAACTTTTCTGTTACCTCTTCTGGTGTCACCAATGACCGACGAACTCCTGATATTGTGGCGCCAGTGTCTCTGAGGACGGATACAGTTTGTCCATGTACGCTACTTTTATGTAGTTTTAGACTACCTTGGCCATGTGCTATGTTAGCATTGTGGACTGGGACCTTGTGACCACACGGCAGGTTACCTTCCGCTCGAAACACTGTACAGATAAAACAACTGTCATTAATACTACAAGTTTCAACTGCATTACCCTCAAATGTATCTGAACCTAAATCTTCGTCTGACAACCCATATGCTACATGTGATTCTTTGATCGGTTGTTTAAAAGCACATTGGGCACGTACGTGGCCGTAGCAGGAACAGGAACAATATTTAATTGCCTTGTAGTCCATTAGCTTGTTCCTCCTCTTGGCAATTAGCTCCTGAACCTTCATTGCGTACAATGGATTTTTATTGCACATGGCGTCTGTACCATGCTGGAGATTACAGTAGCTACACTTAACCATGAAAGGTTTCTTTCTGTTGTACGTGCTGTCTTTCATTGCGTATCTTCCTTGTGATGGTTTATAATATGCTGCAACTCCCACTTTAATAACATCATTAACCGTTGACATGAAAATCTCTGGGTGGGCAGCTTAATAATTCTCTCCCAATTGTTCCATCTGGTTCTGATTCACTGGTTTGTTTTCTTTCAAAAACGTAGCCATTTGCTCTGGCAGTGATTCTAGTAGCTTGCTTCTTATCAGTAGGTCCACTAATAATCTGTAGTCATTCCGTACGTTGGCTGCATCTACCCATTTCTTAAAAGTATTTTGCACCTCGGATAAGTAATCCATAAAAGTTTGATTACTTCTAGGCTTCAGTCCTACATACTGCTTCCTATAACCCATTCCGTGAAGGTTATAATGCTTCATAATTCGTTCTTTGACATAGTCAAAGTCCATTCTTTTCTGCTCTGGAATTGTTTCCAAAACCTTAAGTGGCTCAAAGGCTAAGTGCTTTTGGAAAATCAATGCATAGTCTTCCTTTGGGACCTTATTCATGCGCATTTGGAGCTCGAAATTCGATAACCAAGAAGATATATCCTCGTGTTCGCAATAGTTTCTTACTATGCCAGAGTACTTCTTATACTTGTTCTCCTCTGTCTTCAGTCTTTCTTTCTCTATGGCTGCTTCTCTTCTAGATTCATTCTCCAGCTCTTTGGTTCTTATTTGTGTCTCTGCCTTCTCTTTATCCGCCTGAATTTGTGCTGCCAACCTGTCTTGTTCTAACTGTAACCTTTTCTCCTCCATCTCTTTCTGTTGTAGTAGTTCATGCTCTTTTAACTCTTTCTGTTGTAGTAACTCTTTCTCTTTAATCTTTTTCTCGTGTTCTCTGGAAAGTCTTCTCTCATTTCTTTCTTCTTCTGCTTTTATCCTTTCCTTTTGGTCTACATATTTTCTTAACTCCTCACCCTGTAAGCCAAACTTTTTCCCACTCGCAATCCATTCTGACATTCCCGACATTGTTGACCTGGATGTTCAACTTT